TGTAATTCTGTCGACTATACGATACTCTTGAGTCTATGCTGATAAATGTCGCAATGGTAGAATAACAAGAGAAGTTGTATATTGATACTCCTGAGGTTTTTTATGAGACACATCACATAACGATAACATAGCACCACAGACCAAACCCAGTATGCCTCCTTGTAGAATCAAAATGCAAACAAAATCTTTGTCCTTTCAAAATTTATAAGGCCAATGACTTTTTTACTAAGTAATTTATCTTCATAAATACAAAACAAAGAAAAACTCTTTTATTTGTTGAAAGATATTATGAAGATTTCCGGGATTCTGGAGAACTAGTGGATGCAAGCAGCTAAGGGGCAATGCAAACATGCGATTGTGAGGTGCATAATTGACACAGTGAGCTGGAGAGCCTTCAACCAGAATGTAATAGGAATACGACTTTGCCGAAATTCATTTTTCAATTCTTTAAAAAGGCCCCCAAATTAGTTTGGGCTATATCGGGCCTCCAAATCATTTAAAATATATTTTCTACATTTTCAACTTTTTTAAATCCCTTCTCCTTATTATTTTAAGAGCAAAAGCCATCAGAATAAATTAGTCAAGCTAATTACTGTATTTTAGAGACAACCCTCCCCTTCTTCTATCTCAAATTATTTATATTTAAAAAAAAAGGACCAATATTTTATTTGGCACTGCCTTGTTGGAAGCAATGAAAGGCCAGTGTATTTGAAACAGATGTTACATGAAAAAAGAAGATGAACATTACCACATATATAGTGGCCGAAATATTTTTGGTCCTTCTTAGCTACCCAAATTGGATTTAAGTATCAGAAACGTCCATGCATAACCAAAATCAACAGTGGTGGCCCTCGACTGCACAAATGCAATGTGTACATGTGTATGGCTCAAAGTTTGGCATGCTCGGGAATGTTTCTTTTTAACTTTTTTTTCTTTGTTTTTTATTTTTCTCTCATTGGGAGTATCAGACCAACTTGCACATATCTCAATTAAACTCTTAAGACTCTAAAACTGTCAACCAATAGTCATCCTTATTAGTAGCTAAGAGAATTCGAACTCAAAAACTCATTAAACATTCTTTTACTCTTTTACCATCAAGACACTTAATAGTAGTTGAAATGTTTCATCTCATTTTATAGTGTTTTTACTAAAAACATTTAAAACAATGTTAATATTTTAAAAACATATGAATTAAAACTCAAAGGACAACACACTTAAGAGCATTATTTATCTTAAATTTTGAATAATAAAATAAAATATGTTGGAATAGAAAGTGATTTTTCTTAGCTTATCTTTCTAAACCAAATTTGAAACATGAAGCATCCCTCTTTTTTCTGTTGCAAGCAAATTAACAAGAAGAATCGAATTCCTCATCTTAAACTTTGATGTACCGCTGATAAGAATCCCAGGTCCCCTGGAAATTTGAAGTAATACTTATAATAAAAGAATCTACTTTAATGGGGGGAAAAAAGAAAACAAAGAGGAGATGCTTCCTTCATAGGCATATTCCAAGTCAATTTTCTACTCTCTGGAGTCTAGACTAGTGAAGAAGTGTAGCTAAAGATGGAAAAATAACCCGTCCGACCCAACCCAGGGTGGGTTAAGCCAAATTGCGAGCCGGGCCTAACCCAACCTGCCCTGGTTAGGCTCGCCTCTTTGGTCAGAAGGGTTGGCCCAACCTGGCCCGTCAACCCTAACCCGGTGGGTTTTTGTGTGGGCTAGGCCGGAATGGTCGAATTTTTTTTTATTAACAAAAAAAAAAATTAATTCAATTTTAATACAATTAAATTGTAATATAAGAAAAATTAGATTTATTCATTTATCAAAAAATAAAATAAGAAAAAAGAAATTACAATAATTATTGGCTTGTTAAAAACCTTACCAAGAAAAACCTAATTGGGACAAAAACTTGGTAGGAAAAATGAATGCAATAATTGATAGTTAATTTACAAATTATAAAGTTACAATTTACAAAACAACTAATTTGAAGGTTGATTAGGACCTCCCTCATCTGTAGCATCTAAATTACAAAATTGAAATGATTATATTAAAGTATAGCCGACAATCTCGTATTGATCTTGATGGCGCGATCGTTCCCAATCTCAAAGACATGCGAGAACTTCAATCAATTTTGGAGAAAATTTAGTGCTCCTATCATTTAAAATTCTTCCACTTGCACTAAATGTTTGTTCGGATGAGACGGTTGAGACAGATACAGAGAAAACATCTAGAGCAAGTTTTGATAATATCGGGAAAATACATTTTCCAGTTTTCTAATATTCTATGACATCAAAGTTGACTATTTGTTATGGATCTACTGGTAGCACCTCGGGGGTTTCCAAATATTGGTGAAGCTTATTACTCTGTAGCTGCATAGAGGACAATATATTTGTTGTTGTTTCTTCTGAAGAGAAGGCTATACTTCGGGTTCAGGTTCTCTTTGGCCTATTAAGTGCACTCTAGGAGTCGAAATCTTCATTTGTGTCTTCTGATGCTACTTCTTGGGGTATTTCGCCTCTTCACTGGTTCTCATACCTGTTTTCATATTGCAAATATATCTCTGCAAGACACTGTCTTATCTCTCATACTTGATTGACATATGCTTCGTCTCGTAAATTTTCACTTAACGTGTCTAAACCATTTTCTAAACCCACTAATTTAATTTTAGGATCAAATATGGTAGCTAAACAAAAAAGAAAATGAATGGGTTTCCAATATTTTTTAAATTTTAATTCCATTGACTCTATCGATCCCGCTAAAATTTCATTGTTTATGTCTTTTTTTTTTTTTTAAATAAATCTAAAATTTTTATAATTGTATGTGTTATCAATGGACTAGTAGGATAATATACAAAAAAAAAAAGTTTTAAAAATCTAAAATTTTTATAATTGTATGTATTATCAATGGACTAGTAGGATAATATACAAAAAAAAAAAGTTTTAAAGTGGATTGATAAATTTTTTTAAGAAAATAATGAAATTTTTGAGCTATATGCCAATTACTGTCTATCAAATAATGAGGACCCCTATCATTTGCTACAAAATACTAATTAAATTTTTATAAGATAAACATGAATCAAGTATTAAATAGGTATCATTCTATCTAACATGTATGTTTAATGGAAAAGTTCTAAGAGACATATTTGATTTTATACAAGTATCTTAAAATTCAACATTTCTTCTATTATTACTAGTAATCCAAATTAACGAATCCCTAATTCTATCAATATTATTTCTAATTTTTTTATATGACTTTTCACAATTAAATTAATAATGTGACATGCACAACGTTGGTGAAAAAACTTCAAATTGTCATAAAAAAGAAAATTACTTCTAAAAACTTCTATAGCTCTACTATTAGCACTTACATTATCTAAAGTTAAACTTATCACTTTGTGAACAATATCATAATCTTCTAAAACTTCAACAATTTTATTATAAATTTGTTGACCACTATGATCCACATCCATTAATCTAAATCCCAATAAAGATTTATTTAATTTACATTCGTTATCAAAATAATGACTAGTCATACAAATATAATCTTGTTTAGCTATACCACTCCAAATTTGTCCTCCATGCAGCTACAAAGGAATGAACTTCACCAATATTTACGAACCCCTGACGTGCTACCAGCAGATCCACAACAAAGAGCCAACTTTGATGTCTTAGAATATTGGAAAACCAGAAAATATATATATTTTTTGATATTATCAAGACTTGCCCTGGATGTTTTCTCTGTTTCCGTCTCAACTGTCTCATCCGAACAAACGTTTAATGCAAGTGAAAGAATTTTAAATGATAGGAGGACTAAACTTTCACCAAAATTGATTGAAGTCCTCACATGTCTTTAAGATTGGAAACAATCGCGCTATCAAGATCAATACGAGATTGTCAACGATATTTTAATAGAATTATTTTAATTTTGTAATTTAGATGATATAGATGAGGGAGATCCTAGTCAACCTTCAAATTAGTTGTTTTGTAAATTATAACTTTATAATTTGTAAATTAATTGTCAATTATTACACTCTTTTTTTCTTACCAAGTTTTTGTCGCAATTGGGTTTTTCTTAGTAAGGTTTTTAACGAGGCAATAATTGTTGTAATTTCTTATTTTATTTTTTGATAAATGAATAAATATAATTTTTCTTATATTACAATTTAATTGTATTAAAAATTGAATTAATATTTGAAATATTAACAAAAACAATTGAATTGAATTGAATTATTGATATTTGAAAAGCTAACTCAAAAAAATTACATAAAGAAAAAAATAAAAAAAACTCCGAGCCAGTTCGGCTTGCATAAAAACCTGTCGGATTAGGATTGGCAGACCGAATTGGGCTAACCCTTATGGCCAAAGAGATGGGTCTAACCAAGGTGGGCCGGGCCTAACCCGACCCACAGTTTGACTTAACCCGCCAAGGTCAGACCAGGTCATTTTTCTACCTTTATATTTGTCAACTAAAAGCATGCTCCTTGGTAGTTACATACAATGATGTATACATCTAGAAAAAGAAAAGATTATTTATTTCTATTCAATGAGATCACATCATATCAGAATCAGATTCCATATAATTTATTTTGCTTAAAACAAATCATGAAATACCAAACCTGTCTAAAGTATTAGCATGATTTAGGTAGTTTTAAAAGGTTAAATAATCTAATATATAAAAAAAACAGAGGGTCTATTATAAAAGATAGATAATTTTTAATATATTATTCAAGAGATTATGAGATTGAATGTCTTTCTTTTTTTTAGATGTTAATAAAAATAATGATGATAGTATTACTTGACTGATAATTTTAGAGCCTCAAAGTGTAATGAGACTCTTTTCCTATTTATACTTCTCGGATGTTGAGAATTAATTACGGTTTACCAAACCTAACTGCCCAATAAGTCGGTTAAAAAAAAAAAAAAAAAAGTGAGGAAAGATTGTACCGTATCGCTGTCCATAAATATAAAGTACTGGAAAGGAAAGTGTTGTTGAGTTTTGGTCTTTCACTTGACATCAGAACTCTCTCTCTACAATCTTCTACTGGCTGTCACTTTCTCGTGTGGAGCTCATAAGCTATCCATTTTCTTCCCATTTTTATTCACCTGGAAAATCACGAGTTACACTTCACTCTTCACTCTTTTTCCTTTAAACAATAATTTTTTACTTTCTTTTTTCTTTTCTTTCTCAGCATCATAATTCGCTTCACATTGTTACTTCGTGATTTAAGCTTTTTGTTGTTCAGTTGCTTGATAAATTATAACACGGAGTACCGACTACTAAAAGGTTAAAAACAGAGCAAAAAATTGAAGGTTGAGAAATGGCTGCTAGAAATCTGGAGAAGATGGCGTCAATTGATGCTCAATTGAGGTTGCTGGCACCGTCGAAGGTCTCTGAAGATGACAAATTGGTGGAGTATGATGCTCTATTGTTGGATCGCTTTCTTGATATTCTTCAGGATTTACACGGGGAAGATATCAGAGAAACGGTAACCTTTTCTTTGCGGACGTATATGTCATCCGTTAAAATTGATTTCTTATCATGTTATTAGACTTTTATTTTGGTTCTGTTTTGTCTTTTGTGTGCTATATTTAGTTAATTGTGCAAACTTGAAGCTATAGTTGCAACTTGCAAGTTTAGCTTTCGTGATTATGCTCATGGATCGATAGCTTGTTAGAACAGTGAATTTATGAGATAATCAAATCTCTCGAACAATATTGCTCCATTGTAATTAGTTTGTAAATGTTGAAATTCAAGTCCCCTTAGCAACAAGCTTAATTCTCTTATATAGTGCTCTGCAGTGTTCTCTACATCATCTAAAAAGAATTAAGAAAAGATGTGAATGATTATAGAGTTGTTTGTTGTTAGGTGACACAAGCATGCAAAATATAATCATAACTTCTTTGAAATCCCCAGCTCTCCATAATTAATTTCTAGTAATTGCAAAGGTTTGGAACCACCAAGGCCGAGCCAAGGGTGTAAACAAGCCGAGCCGAGCTGATTCGAGTATCTGATTACTTGAGTTCGGCTTGACTGCTTATAGTGTCGAGCTCGAGCTTTTTCTCACGCTCGGCTCAACTTACATCCTTTCATTAACCTAGTGTCAATGAGAATTGTAAAGAAGTAGAGGTAAGAATTAATTTCTCATAGCATAAAAATTAACCACATCATTATTTATTCTACAGTGACACATAATTGAACCCTGGAGTCTACACTTCGAGGGATTTCCTATGCCAAAATTCATAATAATCCCTATGAAGCATTTGTCGTTAAGTCATGAGAAAGGAGAAAAATGTCATTAATTAGCCATGTGAGATGTGTTTAGAATTCCACAATTCCTAAATTAAGAAATGAATTTACTGTAAAGTAATGAATTATGCTGGTTTCAGCGAAAAGTTTAATCAAAGAGATCAAGAAAATCCCAGCTCACTGAATTTATTAGCTACACATTATTATAATTTCTTGTTCACATGCATATTACTATATGTGATTGAGATATTAAAAACAAATATTAGGCAATTGATCAATTGATATTGTGTGTATATATATAGCAATTTGATTCCTGGAAAGTGACATAACTTGTATCTTCAGCTAGTGCTTTAATTGGTTCTTGCTTTAATTACTAATTAAAAAAAAAAAAAAAATGAAGATAATATTTGCAATATTCTTTGCCATAGTACTTCCAGCTGTAATTATTACACAATAAGTGAAGATCATATGTACATCACCTTACTTATATGCTAGAAAGATATACCATTCAATTGAGTGACTGTGTATAAAGAGGTAAATTTCTTCTTCAGTAACAATAAAGAAACTAAACACTGTTAAGTCTGTGGAATGACGAGATGACAACCATTAGAGAGGTAAAGGAGTTATTAAGAGTTACGGAAGCAGAGAAATGGTAGTGATGATGCAGAGCAGTTTTGGGTCTGTTTAGTGTTGATTGTCTTCATCCCTACCGACTAACGAAGAGACAACACGAGATGTCGTTTCAAAAGTTAAGTGCTATCTTTTGTTTTCACAAAATAGAGTTTGGTTGGGTGTCTTAAGAATATTTTCTCTTGGCACTAAGCAGGAAGTTGGTATAAGACACTACCCACAAATATTTTTTGCCCTTTTTGTTGACAGTGAACCTCCCCACTAACCCTTTTTCTTTACATTGGACAAGAATTGATATATGATGCCATTTTCACTGTTTCTTCCTTTGTAATTTTTGTTGTTTGCTCTTCCCAGATTCCCATTATATATACTTCCCTCTCTTCTGTATTCTTTCGCTGGAATACTTTTCCTTCAATCACTTTGTTTCCCACTGCTTCCCCTCCAAACTTATATGTTGCTTCACTTTTTTTTTTTTTTTTTTTTAAAGAAACAATAAAGCTAATCTATGTTCTTTTTCATTTTAATCTAAAGTATTTAATTACTTAGGTAAAATTAAAACATTTCTTTATATTTTCATCTTTTAAAACCCTAAAATGAGTTATGACATGAAATTGGATTTGCTTTATTGTTTGTCCTTGACTCTATTTTACATTTCATTTTGTCGTTTAACTTTATTTTAATTATTCCTTTTCTGTTAAATTGAACGTGTTTGTACTCTGATTCAAGAATAAAAACATGAATTTAATGTCGTGTACTCAGTAGCTGAGAAGGATTCTCAAGATGCAGAACTGATGGCTTAACTATTTTAATTAAAGTTCTCTTCATAACACAGAGATTTGTGATACATATAAACGTATTATAATGATTTTTTTCTAAATATTGATTCATATTATAGCTGTATGTTATTGGTTCGTCGGTATCTGGTCTGATATGTAGATGTAAAGTTTTTTGATGTTTGATTAACTTTACAATATACATGGGCTGTGATGGTTATTTGTAATTTAATTGTGAAATCTACACTATTTTAATAAATTTAGGCGCACCATAATTATACAAATGTACGTGTAAGGATTATGTTGTATGGCTGAAGCTTGGTGAATGAGTTTTTTAATAGCTTATTTCTAATAAAGCTTATGCTGGTAAAAGGGTTAGAAATTCAAGTATCAGTCAGTATCATTTACTTGTATCTTTAATATCTCATGGACACTAATAAATCTTTTATTTCATGTAATAGATTATGGATATGAAAATTCATATAATATTATTTATCACATTAGCTTACTTCATATTAGTCTATAAAAGATACAAAGTTATATATATGGATCACTTGAGCAAAGGAAGGTGGATCAAACTGTTGTTGGATGTTAAAAAGAAGAATAATATTGAAAACGCACAAGGATTGTCTTTAGATAAGTGTTGATTGAAGAAGATATATCTCAGTCTTCCTCGATCTTATAAAGGCCTTGACGATACCATTAATTCTTGACCAGTTGACCCCATAATTATAAACTGATGATTTGGATTTGTTTCTTTCAAGAGATCCTGTAATTAGTAAGGAGCCGGTACAAAGCTGTAGCCAAGCATTCATTTCTTTATAATTTGTGAAGTGGTGTGGCGCCTTTTAAGTAACTTGTTGGGATGATATAATATATGTTTTTAATTTATGCGCACGGTGAAGGCCCAATATAGAGGAGACAGCGAGACCACAAGGAATCAAATCTAATAGTCTTTAATTTAAAATACTTTTATAAAGCACTTTCATTCGAAGAAAACATTCTTAAATGTATTCTAAATTTCCTACTAAAAAATGGAGAAGATGAGATTGATGACACACCAGACAGGATGAGCATCAGCTTTGCACTTTTAGGGTGTTTGGTAACTCGATCAATTTATTCATTCCTGTTCCTTCCAAAACACTTTTTTTTTTCTGAAATGTGATTCTGAGATTAAATCGTGTTTCAAGATATATTTTTGAATGGAGTTTTCATGGATTACAACTTTAGCTTCATTGATCTAAATTCAGAGTAGAGTGGGCCAAGCTTGTAAGGAAAATGAGGATTTGGGCAAGGAAGAGGTTCTGTGAGTCCGCCTTGTTAAAGCCCAAGACAGATTGGTTGGTGCACCAAGGCTAGTTTTTCAAAGTCACAGAGTCGAACCAAATTCATATTGTGTAGACATGCTTTTGTAATTCTGTCGACTTACGATACTCTTGAGTCTATGCTGATAAATGTCGCAATGGTAATTACAAGAGAGTTGTATATTGATACTCCTGAGGTTTTTATGAGACACATCACATAACGATAACATAGCACCACAGACCAAACCCATATGCCTCCTGTGATCAAGCAAACAAAATCTTTGTCCTTTCAAAATTTATAAGGCCAATGACTTTTTACTAGTAATTTATCTTCATAAATACAAAACAAAGAAAACTCTTTTATTTGTTGAAGATATTATGAAGATTTCCGGGATTCTGGAGAACTAGTGGATGCAAGCAGCTAAGGGGCAATGCAAACATGCGATTGTGAGGTGCATAATTGACACGTGAGCTGGAGAGCCTTCAACCAGAAGTATAGGAAATACGACTTTGCCGAAATTCATTTTTCAATTCTTTAAAAGGCCCCAAATAGTTTGGGCATATCGGCCTCAAATCATTTAAAAATATTTTCTACATTTTCAACTTTTTTAAATCCCTTCTCCTTATTTTTAAGAGCAAAAAGCCATCAGAATAAAGTAGTCAAGCAATTACTTATTTTAGAGACAACCCTCCCCTTCTTCTATCTCAAATTATTTATATTTAAAAAAAAAAAAAGACCAATATTTTATTTGGCACTGCCTTTTGGAAGCAATGAAAGGCCAGTGTATTTGAAACAGATGTTACATGAAAAAAGAAGATAACATTACACATATATAGTGGCCGAAATATTTTTGGTCCTTCTTAGCTACCAAATTGGATTTAAGTATCAGAAACGTCCATGCATAACCAAAATCAACAGTGGTGGCCCTCGACTGCACAAATGCAATGTGTACATGTGTATGGCTCAAAGTTTGGCATGCTCGGGAATGTTTTTTTAACTTTTTTTTCTTTGTTTTTTATTTTTCTTTCACCGGAGTGTCAGACCAACTTGCACATATCTAATTAACTCTTAAGACTTAAAACTGTCAACCAATAGTCATCTTATTAGTAGCTAAGAGGATTCGAACTCAAAACCATATAAACATTCTTTTACTCTTTTACCATCAAACACTAATAGTAGTTGAAATGTTTCATCTCATTTTATAGTGTTTTTACTAAAAACATTTAAAACAATGTTATATTTAAAACATATGAATAAAATCAAAGGACAACACACTTAAGAGCATTATTTATCTAAATTTGAATAATAAAATAAAATATGTTGGAATAGAAGTGATTTTTCTTGCTTATCTTTCTAAACCAAATTTGAAACATGAAGCATCCCTCTTTTTTTCGTTGCAAGCAAATTAACAAGAAGAATCGAATTCCTCATCTTAAACTTTGATTTGACCTCTGTAAGAATCCCAGGTCCCTCGAAATTGAAGTAATACTTATATAAAGAATCTACTTAATGGGAAAAAAGAAAACAAAGAGGAGATGCTTCCTTCAGGCATATTCCAAGTCAATTTCTACTCTCTAGAGTCTAGAACTAGTGAAGAAGTGTAGCTAAAGATGGAAAAATAACCGCCCCAGCCGGCCCATGGCGGGTTAAGCCAAA